TAGTAATTTTAATTTTACTACTAAAATATAAAAAACGTAAAGACTAAGTAATAAAGGAAAAGATTAAGCTTTACTAAGAGAAAATAGGTTTAATTCTATATACTGTAATTATAATTAGGCCTAATATAGTATATACTACAGGCTACCTCTCTAGATTCCTTACTAATCTAAGTAAATAGTATTATCTTACAGTAAATTAAGTTATTTACTACCTATATCTTATATACTTTTACTATATTATATATAGGAGGTATAATAAGACTTAGGTAATAATAATTACTTTAAATACTTCCTTTACTAATAACCTAGAAATAAGAAAGTTATTACAGGGATATTTAATTAGTTTATTTAAAGGACTAGTTAGTTATTTGGAAAGCCTTAAGGTAAGTAATAGTAATAACTTTAACTACTAAAGCTAAACTCCTTGCCCTTAAATAGGCTACTAAAGAGATAATAAAAATAAAATGCCTCTTTAAGGACCTTTAATTTAACCCTAAGACTCTATAAGATATTTACTATAATAATTAGCAAACGATCTATTTAGTAATAAGTAAGCATAAGAATTACTACTTGCTTATAATATATAGATATATATAATATATGGCTTAAGTAGGAGTTTAAGAAAAAGTTATTTAATATAATATACCTTAAAACTAATAAAATACCTACTAATAGGCTAACTAAGGCACTTATAAAATAGCAGTTTAAATGCTTTTATTTACTACTAAATATATTATAATAAATTACTAATAAGGAGGAAACGGTTTAAAAGTATAATTATACTAAAATTATAATTAATTTTATTTAACTAATTCTACTTACTAGCAGTAAATAGCCTAGATATTTAAGTCTATTTAGGATCCCTAAAGCAATTTACTAAATTAGCCTAATATAAAGTAACTATATAAAGTTATACCTAATATATAACCTAAAGTAACTAACTACTAATCCTTATTTTTATTACTATCCAGAATAATAGTTTAACCCTTAGCCTAAGATACAGAAGCCTATCTTTTTATAGTATTATATACCTCTTTATACTTAAGCTTAACCTAAGCAGAAATTATAGTAAAAGGACTAGGCTAAGAAATAGCTAAGTTTATTTACTTATATAATTCCTAAAAGGCAGAGTAAGGAAGCTAAGGCATAGAACCAGAGATATGCCCTAAGCGTAAAAAGGCTAAGAAAGCAAAGTAGTAAGGGCCTTTAGGATACATAGACTTAGTATATAAAGTATTAATTAATTCCCTAACTATATACTTAGTATAGTAAAGCTCTTATTATAATAAGAGGTTAGCTATAAAAGCATAATTATATTAAAATACATATAGTCTTAAGATACTTAATCTCCTTCTTAGTAAGGCTTTCTTTCTTAAGCTTAAGCTTAAGAGTAAGATTAACTATATAGTTAACTATTAAGAAAGCTCTATTATAACTATATATTAATTAGCTAATTAAAGTAAAAAAGGTAATAAAGAAATAAATATATACTTACTTATAAAAGTACTTAGGGACCTAATATCTCTTATACTTATTAAAGTTATAGTAGGTCTAGCACTAATCTAAGGAACTCTTTTCTATAAGAAAGCTTAGTATATATCCCTTATAAAGGAAATAAGAATATTAAGCAGGCTTCTAACTAAAGGAAGGGTTCTTTATAGTATAGTAAACACTACTATTATTATATAACTTAAAAGTTAAAGCTTTTAATATATAGCAAGGAGTATTTAAAACATTATCTAAGGCAAAGGACATTCTAGTACAGGAGGGAACTCTGCAGTAAAGCATAGGAGTTATAGTAATCTAATTATTATTAAAGGACTTATTCTCTTTGTCTTTAAAGGAGGATTCTTTAGAAAAGAAAGTTATAAAGTTATTATTATCCTTATTATTATTATTATTATTACTAGCAAAAGGATAACTTAAGACTGCCTTTACTATACAAGCTATAGCAGTATATACCTAATAAGCAGCTTTAGTATTTTAAAGCAAGAAGTAAGATATTAAAGGTATATTTAATTAAATAAAGGTAAGAGAAGATATATAAGATAATAAGACTTACCTTATAAGCTATAAAAGTATAAAAAGTTTAAGGATAACTATTCTTAGAGGTATAACTAAGGCTTATAGTACAATAAGAAAAGAAAGACTAAATTAAAGTATTAGTATATAAAATAAATAACTAAAGCTAGTAATAGCTTTAATTAAGGAAGAAAGATAAGGCATAAGGCTAGTAAGTAAGACTAACTATTATAGTTATATTATAATATATAAAAAAAGAAAAAAGAAAAAGAAAAATAGATTTTATAAAAAGGCATAATAATAGTAGCTATAGCCTAAGTGCCCTAAGTTTAGGATTTGCATTACAGAGTAACTTATAGTAATTCCTTTTACTTCTATATATATTATAGTTTCTTTTATACTCTAGCTATGACTTTTTATTTATTACTTATATAGAATTAGGTTCTAAGCTAGGGAGGATTAAGATATTAATTCCTAAGTATTTACTTATCTAATACTTAATTACAATTAATTAAGAATTATCTAGGGGGTATATTCGGAAATCTCCAGGTTAGATTTACCTAATTATATATATCTTAGCTTAGTTTCCCTTATCTAATATAAGGCTAATATAAATTAGCCTTAACTTAACTAATTTAACTTAACCTTTTTAAGGTCTCTTAAACCTTATTTATTTACTTACTTTAGTGCAAATTAGCTAGTCGTTACAGATAAGCTATACACAAGGGTGAGAGCTAATATTAGATCCAAAGCATGGAATTTGCTCTTTCTGTTTAATATAAAATGCCTTTATTATTTTAGACTATAAGATCCCCAGCAGCCTACTTTTATTTAAAATTTAATAAAAGTCCATTGCTTACAGTCTGCAGTGCTGTAACCCTACATCTGTCGGGGCAGATGAACTTATACAAGAGGCTAAATAGAAAAGTGAATAGGTCCCTTGGTCCACGAGCTGGTCAAGGGTACCTCTGACCTCAAGACCATTGTCGCTCAGAATACTCGGAGGACAACCTTAGCGATATACACTACTGCCTGCTACAAATCTCGGCTATGAAGATGGGAAAGATGGCAACCCTGAGAGCCACTTTCTCGATTTCTCTATCCACGACGTGTGACTCTTATTATTTGTTGAATTGATAGAAGCCGCTGGTACATCAGTGCCTTGGAGGAGAGGAGACCAGGTATTACTTTTGAGACCCTTGGGAACAACTAAGGACGTTTAAATGGGGTCCATCGTACTCTCGGTTATTATGAAGAAGTAATAAGAGCAGGCAGATGACGCATAAAGATTGATGCTAACACAGATCCCATTTAATCTGTTGATGTGATCTTCCTCATCCGTTCAACTCCAAATTTATAATACCAGCATCGGCTTTCCCCATGGACGATATCGAACAGGCGTCTACCTCAAACCCGGGAAAAGCAGTCAATGCAGCACAGCATCAGAGGTCAGCAGCCAGCTAAACGTCATCAAAACCAAGAAAACGTAACCATGGGGATGACTACGGCCTGTAAGGCTAAGCTTTCATCTATAAGAATGCTAAACTCTTATTAAGGGACCTCATTTCCGGGAATATAGAGGATGATTTTCCTCCACCATTCAATCTCGTTGTGTATCTTGCTTCATTGTCACGATTGAAAAGATGTCCATGGCCCTGAGTATACATCAACATGGCGGACATCTTGATGGGGGCGTTTTGGCGTCAAAATCACTGATCTGACTCCCTCTACTCTGAAAGAAGCCGTCCACGGGCCTAAGCCCGACGTATCTGATAAGCCCATTGTGGTAATGGACGTCCTTCGATATTACTGCTGTGAGAGAATAAGTCGGGATTAACCATGACGAAGTATCAACGTAGTTCAGACCAGTATAAGAAGCACGACAACGGTAGTTGGGCTGATCACCCTGGGTAATTTTCACTTTGTGCTTATGCTTCTTCAATCTTGGACTCTTTCTATCGTTACACCACAGGCGTTCTGATACCGGATCGCAATGTCTAAATTGAGCTTGAGGAAGTTGGATGTAGGTTTTATTCTCTAAATAAGTGTAGATCTTATATACATAAAAGAGATACAAAACTTAAAGCAAGCTCCCGGATTGTGAGAGAGACTTCTAAGCAGCTACTACATGCTTAGCTGAGGGCGCAAAAGTCTCCTTCTTATAGACGCCAGCGCGGGCATAGACATCTTTATACTTCTGGACAACATAGTCCTCGACACTGATAGGGGCGTACTTCTCCTCTTCGCTACTCTTGCGGCAACTCTCGATGCAGCGGATGACAAAGTCGGGGTTACCATTGTAGTTGAAGGGGATGGAAAAGCGCTCCTCGCCTGAGCGGTTGATGACACGATGCACATTAGACACGTAAGCATCGTTCGTCCACTGCTCGAACAGGTTCCCCATGTTGACCACATACGCGCCCTCTACCGGAGGTGCTGGGTACCAGTCCTTGGCTTCGTCGTCCCACACCTCCAGCCCGGGTACATCACCCTGTAGGAGGAGCGTGATAACGCCAAAGTCACGGTGGGCTCCAATACCTGCAGCGTATTAGATATGCCAGCGCATCATATGGACGTGGGATTAAGAAAGGGATGGTCATGAGTGCGAAGAGAAGTGGAAAATGGTGATAAAACATACCGCGCTGGAGAGCATGTGCGTCATCAGGCTGGGGAGGGTAGTGCAGCAGCTTGTAGAAGCACATAGGGTCGGTACAGAACTCGTCAAAGTAGTTCTTGTCATAGCCGAGACTCATGGCCATGGCGCCCATAACCTCCTCTGTGAGCTTCACGATGCGGTGGAGGTAGTCCATGCAGGTTCGGCGGAAGGGCTCGCCAAGGGCCTCTGGCCATACATTGGGTCCATGAGCGAACTTCTCTGCCTTGACTTGAGGGTGGTCAAGAGGCAGGTCGCGCGACACGTAGTAGCCTTCTTTCAGGTCCGGCTTAGTGTTGGCTTCAATCATCTGCCCGTGCATGACCTCATAGCCACGGTTGTACGAGTTCTAGTTTTGAATTTAGACAAAATCCGTCATAGAGAGTCACGGCTGCTAAGTGAGATAGCTACTTACCAGGGATTTATCCAGTTTCATCTTCTCCTCCAAAGGGAGGTCGAAGAATTCCTTGGAGATTTTGAACATCTCCTTCTGCAAACTGAGAGGGATATCGTGGTTGACGATCTGGAAGAAGCCCTGGGTAAGGCAAGCCTCTCTGATCTGGGCCGCACAATGCTCCATCCGCTTCTGGTCCCCAGACAGGTAGTCAGAGAAGTCAATGACGGGAGGAGTCTTAGTGGAAGGCATTTTGGCTTATTTTAAGAGAGTGCAATAATAGGTATTGTGATAGTAAGAAGCTGTGTAGATAAGTTGTTGAGATTGCTGTTTCGTTTTGGTTCTTGTCCCAGATCTCGTAGCTATAGGGATCAGTCTTCCACATATTTATAGTTCTCAGTAGTTACACTCAGCAGAGACCCTGCCAAGGAACTCTTCATGAGGCTTTGTCGTTAATGGAAACTGAGGACGCGTCATTGCCCTCGATCGTCAAGGTGGTGATAATGCTGCTTACTGAGCTCATTGGTAACTATCATGAGATGCAACCCTTCCGAAATGCAGGCTTGAGTCAGCCAACTTCTCTTCCTTGTTTCTACAATGTCGTCAGTTGAGCAATGGAGCCTTGATGCCTTGACGGTCCGAGTAAAACTTGCTCATCTGAGTCAGACAGCAATATAGAACGCATCTAGCCGGCTGTGATATGCCGGTCACCTACTTCTCCGGCCCAGTAACAAGTGTTTTGCCACGTATGTGGCCCGTTTCTGCCTTGTGTTTGGATTTAATGCCTGGTAAAATGCAGTTCTTTTCATGCTCGCTGACACGAAGAGTAGTATTTACTGCATTTACATGCATCAGGGAGGCGGGTCCGGGACAAGGATGCGCCCTTTTGCAAGATGCGTGGATCATTGTGTGATTGCCTTCTTAAAGTTTAATTCGACTATGGTTGGAATAAGACGATTCGGGCAGTTCGAATTGGCTACAGGATTGGTGCTGAAGATACCTAACCGCCACCGTGCTTAGCGGCAACTTGTTCAGGTATATCAAGCTACAAATCCTCGGCTTTTCGATGAGCGGCGTGTACTGAACCAAATCTTTCTGCAGAACAGCAAAGAGACAACTTTGAAACGTCATCCCCTTCCTTCTATTACCCCTCTTTAACAAAGATTTATCCATCAATCATGCACGTCGGTATTATAGGTGCAGGTATATCTGGCCTTTATACCGGGCTCATGCTACGTCGAGAAGGTCACAGAGTGACTGTATTCGAGGCAGCAGACCGTGTAGGGGGCCGTATCTACACTCATCGTTTCACTCCCCAAGCTAAATCGCAAGACGTATACTTCGAGGCTGGAGCGATGAGAATTCCCCGCTCGTCGCTTCATTCTATGGTCTTTGACCTGATACGCTATTTGAACACGCACGGTCCCGCCGAGAGCCGGATCGAGTTGATTCCCTATATCCTGGAACACGACAATAACAAGTCGTTTTTCAGGGGTCAAAAGGGACTACTGCAAGATCCTCGCTGGTCGGCCGCCGCGGATCTTCCCGCAGGCTTCCGTAACAAGACCCCACAGCAACTCCTTGGCAGCGTGGTCATCCCATGGCTGACGTTACTCCGTCAGAACTTCGACGACGGGTTTGCGAAATTGCTGCAATACGATGAGTACTCTTTTCGTGCCTATTTACGCTCTGTTGCTGGATGGCCTCATGAAGTAATTGAATTCGTCGAGCTTTTCTGTTCGCAGACGAACCAATATGATCTTAGCTTTACCGAAATCATCATGCAGAACCTCGACTTTGACACTAAGGATGTGAGTCTCGGCCACCATGGAGCTGACATCAGCGGCAAGGCAACTAACGATTCCACCAGTGGGTGACAATTCGCGATGGCATGTCACGCATGACTCAGTCTGCAGCTTGCATTGTTGGCTTTGAGAACATCCGCCTCAATACGCGAGTAGATCGGATCACCAATTTAGACGATGGGCGCGTCGAGTTGTCAGCCAAGGGCCTGCATCAAACAACTACCAGGGCATTTGACGCTGTGGTCCTTGCTATACCCCCTGCGGCCGTCCACAGTATAGTGGACCGGCCTAGGTGGTCCTTCATGAAGGAGCAGGCCATCCGGGGTGCGCACTACGAGCCGCTCTACAAGATGGGAATGCATTTTCGCAGCCGGTTCTGGGAGCGAACTGACAGAAACCCGTGCTTTGGGGGCCAGAGCACGACAGATCTGCGTTTCCGGTGGATTGTGTTTCCATCGAATGACCTGGGCAGCAATGGGAGCGGTGTGTTGCTGCTGTACAGCTGGATGTCAGATGCGGCCAAGTGGAGCGGACTTTCGCAGGCTGAGCGCATCAAGATTTGCCTGCATGATCTGAGCATTTACTACGCGGATGACCCCGACATTGATGTATACGAGCAGTACATTGAAGCCTTTGACATCATGTGGACGGGGGAATGGTGCGGGGGGGATGCCATGTTCCTCCCCGGTCAGTTCTCTCGTTTCCACGATGTTGCCAAAGCACGCGAGGGACAAATTTTCTTCGTGGGGGAGCACTTGTCCAGACATCACACTTGGGTAAGTGCTAGACTGCTGCCGAGCCTACTGTAAGCCCATCCAATTGACCTTCCTTTCGCAGATTGCCGGGGCCGTTGAGTCGGCATGGCGAACGACGGCCGAGTTGCTAGGGTATCCAGTCCGGCAAGAGACAGGGGATATGGCTAGTGGCCAACCGGGATTAGTTGCTCTCGGCCGCGAATACTTTAGTGCAGATCAGAAGCGTCTCGGAAAAAGGACTGACATTAGCTCCCGAAGGTTCAAGGCTTGTGTTATTCCCAAGCATTTAAACGTGCAGTATGTCGACATCTTTTGAGCTTATGTGGGGATATCACGCAATATTGTAGTGGGGCGGGAGTCAAAGCTTTGGTATGTATGTAGAAGAGCAAGCAGGGATTCGCAATAGACACTTTGAAGTAACATGCAACGTTCCCAATAACTACCTACAATTTAGCCAATTGAATTTAAATTAAATAAGTTAACTCGTAAATCCTTAGCCTAGCTTGATTAGGTAAGGGGGTATTACTTATAAATTAGCTAAGACAAGATTAAAGGACTTACCCTAGGTCTTAAGAAATTCGTTAAAGGAAGAAATAATAGATACTTGTGTATTATAAACTTTACTAGCTAATTTGTTTTAAGCAGGAACCTTGGTAGCTTAACTTAGTGTAAAGATGTTAAACCTGAGATACTTCCTTAGTGTAATTACACCCTCTGTGTAGCCTAATAGTATTATCCTCAACTCATGGCCTTTTTCCCGACTTGTAACTCAGGGTGTCAGGCTTGGATTGAATAAGCTAACTCGAGTTACTAGGAACGTTGGTCAGATGTTTGCCTGACAGGAAAAAAGCATGTAAACCCTGTGTACCAAAACTCCACATACCTGAGGATAATTACCGGGAATCAGTAACGCAACGGCCTGTAGGCCTCGCGTTTCCATGCTTCGGGGACTTAACTTCGGGCCGAGGCGGCAAGGGAATGACACTTTGTCATTTACTAGAGTGGGTCTCTTATGCTTCTAGGAGGCATGTACGGATATGCTACCCGTTCTCCCCTCCCCCGACTCGAGCCAACAGGTACATCCCCCTTTCCCTTTTCTCTTTCCACATATCTCCTTGAGCCCCCGAAGGGCTGTGGGTCCAGCGCTAGACCAATAACAGGCCGCAAATAGAAACGGTCAGCTAATACAAGCAGATGTACGGATACTGGTTGGCTGTCACGTCATTGGGACCCACAAGTCTTATGGGTGCCGGACAGAATCTCAGTCTCCCCCCTAACACTTTCAACTAATTAATCTCATCGCAGAGCAGTCGCCATTCAAATACAGCATCTCATATCATCGGAAAAACCTTCCCAGCAGGTGTCTCATCGGCCGTTTTGTAACATTACAGTCGTCCCACTAGTCACCACTCACTTCCTTTTAGAAATCGATCCCTAGCGTTCAAGAGCATTCATTATGTCGTCAGACCAGAGCAATGGGCAAACAACAACAGGAAGCATTGCTTTAGACCACGATGAGAACCCTTTGAACTTCTCTCCCGCACGCAGATGGACCTGCACCATCATTGGTCAGTACAACAAGACAGCAATAGCAGTCAATCGAGTTGATGATTTCTTATAGTGGTATTCATGACTGCCACCATTGCCTTTTGTTCATCTATCTATACAGCCGCCATCCCAGCCATATCTCAGGACTTGAACTGCTCTAACATTGTCGCAACCCTGGGTGTCACCACATTCCTGCTTGGCTTCGGCACAGGTCCCCTTATCTTTGCACCGATGTCGGAAACTTACGGTCGGAACCCCGTGTATCGAAGCACATTATTACTCTTTGTGTTGTTCAATATTGGCTGTGCCCTGTCTCCCAACGTCGCCGCCCTCCTAGTCTTTCGCCTCTTGAGTGGCTTCTTCGGTTCACCTACTGGTAAGCAAGCAAGCTAGCTACTGCTGCTGCGGCTCATTTTGTTGACAATACATGGATGTCGCTTGCTAATGGGAGATATGGGACGAACAGTAACCAACTCGGGTGGCTCTTTGACTGACTTGTGGCCGCCAAGTCATCGGTCTGTTCCTCTCGCCTTGTTTACTGCAGCGAGTTTCCTAGGCCCAGTCGTTGCGCCCATTGTTGGTGGATTCTTGACTGAATACGCATCTGTGAGTGACCCTGAATGCGACACTCGGTCCTGGCTGGGCTAAATTTGACTAATGTGACCTTTAAAAGTGGAGATGGTAGGCCTGCACTGCAACTGAGCTATGCGCCTTTGCTGCCTAATATATATATATTCATTTATACTGATATGTTCTCCAGGAACTTCTGGCTAGTGTCCATTCTGAGCGGCCTCGTGTATATCATCATGGTTGTGTTTCTCCCTGAAACTTATGCGCCAAGGCTGCTGCAAACGAAAGCACGAAAACATGGCATTCAAGAGTCACACCAGGAATTAATCGTCATGCTCTGGACCAACATCACTAGACCAACCGTCATGTTTCTAACTGAGCCTATTTTGTTCCTGTTATCGCTTTACATGGCTTTTATTTACGGCATATTGTACCTTGACTTCACCGCGTACCCATTTGTCTTTCAGCAAACTAGGCATTGGAACACGGGTATCTCGGGTCTCAGCTTTTTAGGTAAATATGCAATTTGTTTGGTTCGTTCGTCTGCATAAAGGAGCCCTTCTAAGAATTTGACTTTAGGTATTGGAGCTGGAATGGCTATTGCCACAGCAGCATCACCATACATCAACCGCGTTTATGCGATTTATGTCAAAAAGCTAGGCGGGCCTAGACCCGAAGCTCGGCTGCCGCATTTGATCTTGCTGTCATGGCTGGTCCCGCTAGGACTATTCTGGTTTGCGTGGACAGCTGACCCGTCCATCCACTGGGCGAGCTGTATCATCTCAGGTATTCCTTTCGGTATAGGCTTTGTGGTTCTGTCATTGGGTATAACATCGTACCTCATTGACTGCTACGGAAAGTACGCTGCCAGTGCACTCGCCGCCAATGCGATTCTCAGGTCTCTGTTCGGAGCAGGGTTTCCCCTCTTTTCCCATCAAATGTTCAACAAACTGGGTGCTGCCTGGGCGACCTCTGTCTTGGGCTTTATTTCAGTGGCTCTGGCACCTTTGCCTTTTGTCTTTTACCGCTTTGGCCCACGCATTCGCGCGCACTCCACGTTTCATCAAAGAGCTATAGAGGAAGAGTCCGAGGTAGCGGCTCCTTTGGACCAATCGAACAAGAGAGGGTAGAAGATAGTGGTACAACGGCCAGGGATAACTATGATATATATACATGTGATAATAGTTGAATACTTGGTACTTTCTGGGTATCAAATCGCTCGTCGAAAGATGCTGAAACTCTGTGCGACGTGCTCAAACCCAACCGCGTCCTCCAAGACCATGCTATCACTCAATTTCGTCAATTACTTCAATGTCTATTTGTGTATTTCCCGCGCCGGCGGGCATGTATACGAGCTCATTCCCTTCTTTCTCCCTGCAATTTCGGCTGAGGTAGTCTTGACGCTGGCTAGTCGTTGCGAATGTCAATCTTCGCCCACTTCCCGTCCTTCAAGTATCCCAGCATGTGACCTGCTATTGCTTCAGGCGACGTTTGGGGAATGTAAGCGGTTCCGCCAATCTCACCTTTTTCGGCCATCTCCGATGTAAAGGAAGCAATCACTAGGAACATATGTCATTAGAACCTGGAATGAGCTCCATTTACTCGTCCAAGGGTCTCTGTTTGATCCAGTCCATACTGATGTTGAAGGACTCCTGCCAGCAGCTCTGCCATTCGTGGCTCCCCGAGAGGGTTGTGCCCTGGACCTACAACGAAAGCGTGTTACAACTATGGCCTAATGCGCTAATCTGTCCTCTCAACACAACAAAATTGTAATGTCCTCGAGATTATGGTACATGAAATTTGGAATCCCTGATCTTTTTAATAGTGGAATGTCATCTCAAAGGCACCCAGAACCCAGTCGACACGTGATTTCGCGTTGCAATTGAAGCGCGTGCGCCAACGCCAATCACCAACTTCCTTGACATGTTAGCTCTGTCGCATTTCTTGTGGCCTTCATGCACGCAGCCTCACCCGACTTCGTGACAGTACACGCAGCGCCGTCTCCCCCCGTTCTTCTCAGCGGTCCATGTCCAATCATGGCCTCCAACGCACCTCCCCGTTACCGCATTTTGACATCGCGGTCTCAGGTTGAGACATCGCAACCCAAGGAATATCGACGCAGATTGGTCGCCGAACTCGATGGCCTGTGAGGATGCCGCCGAGGCTAGTTGCCAGACAGGTGCCATGAAGCGACAATAGCGCTGGGAACTCTTTACCAGATACGCTCGACTACAACGGCCATTCTCGACGCCGAACACCCGCTTCCTGCTCTCTTTGTTTCCGGTGGACCATTATACAACTGGCCATTTACGAGGCGCAACATCCAAACTACTGAGACGTATATAATTAGTCGTCTTCAAACACAGAGCGGTACCTGTCTCCCTGAGGGATCGGGGATCCTCCCAGCAACAGGACCAGCATCCGCACCCGATCCAAGTCCAAGCCCAAGCCCGGGTCGGCTCCCATCTCCTGTACGCTGCTCAGATCCCACTCTATGTCGGTCTCAGTCTCCATTTCTCGGTCAAAGTTTCGGTCCAGCTTCATCTCCAGCTCCAGCTCCCAGCTTGTCTTTCGGTGACATTGAGCTGCCACGTGCTCATCACTCAAGCTCTACCCATGAACCCGCTCATAAATATGAACTGGACATCGGCGCCAGCACTCTCCAGGAGATCAACTACGACGACGCATCGTTCGAAATGGCCCCGGTTAGCAACGGTGGCCATATAGCTATCACCGTTGATGACCTCGACTTGAGCAACATGGAGTCGGAACTCAACGCCGACACCATCGGTCGCATTACGGATGGCGCTTAGCTCAATGACGCTGCCATCGCTAAACTCTTGGAACTCTTCTCTTCTCTGCGCCCACTCGATGCTAAATCCATCGATGCGTTGCTCATTGATAGAGCTCCCGTCAATAACGCTGTGACCCATCTTCTTTCGGCCTCTGGATCTGACTTGTTGGTCCTCGTTCCTATTCGATGCAACGCGCACTGGATCTTGGTTGTACTGCGTGCAACCGACAAATCGGTTCTCTACTACAATTCAATGCCTGGACACGACATGCCTAGCCTGCCCGAGCGCATCAATCAGGTTTGCCAAGGTCTCATCCTTGGACTTGACTACAATATTTTTGCCGCTGTGTCAGCCGGTACGCTATTCTGCCCCTCGGCAAGTCAACACGGATGATTGCGGCGTTGCTGTGATCGTCAATGGCCTCTACACCCTGGCTTCACGACCTCTGCCTCCGACCACCAACTGCAATTATGGTATCTGGCACCGTGTCTTGGCCGCAATGCTCATCGATCAAGATGAGCCTGACGGCAACCTGAGTCTAGTGCCTCCCGAGCTGGCCGAGGAACCCATCATTGACATGGGCACTGTGGAGCCTCGTCCGGCAAGTCTTCCTGCCTCTGAGTATAGCGACTGGGTACGCACGGAGAGACAACGATCCGAAACCCATATGAGGTCAACTGCCGACAGCCTTGTCGACTTTTTATCCGGATGTCGTTCTCATCAGATGCTGATAACTGAGATTGTGGCTGTGCTAGAGTCCCTAGCCTTGAACCCAGACAATACGCTTGATTAGGAGCTGGAGAGGCTGACCACTTCTCTTGAGAATGTGCGATCCTTGAGATGGGTTAACCCTGTAGCCGAGTCTGCATTATAAAGGCAGTTAATAGTTCTTCAGACCCGTGCAGATCATGGTACAGCGCGCAGCGCGAGGCTGGAAATGTTAATTTGCCAGTGCAAGGTTAACCTGGCGGGCCTTGAAATCATGAACCGGGACATGGGTGTATTGATGGAAGGCTTGGAGCAGGACTTTGCAGAGAACGTCAATGCAATGGAGTAAGTATAGTTAATAACACACTCTGTTCAATAGGACATAATGAGAGAGCATGTTAGCTACTGCGAGGAGAAGATAGAGGATCGTAGAGGAATACAAGCATGGATTGGGGCTCAACTTGTCGATACAAAGTTGGCCTCCTCACAATACTAAAAGACAGAGTTGATCGATTAGTCGAGGAGTGCAGAAGCACAATAGTTGTGGATGAGTCGACTAAGTGAATAATTACCAGAGGGCGGTCGGTTTCTAAGTGGCTGTAAGTACACCACTCGACATATCATCGGGAGTCCCTGCCTCTGTGATTATAACGGCCTGCTACAGACCCGAAGTCAACACATAATGAACCATCACAGGGCAGCCGTGTGCCAAAACATGATCGGTCATTGCTCCGTCCCTATTCCCTATCCATGGGTTGAGGCATCCAAAGACCGTGAGGTTGATTCCAGCCACGGCGAGTCGTCCAACCTCACTGTCAATACAACTAAACCACTGCATACGTGATGATTGGACATTTGACTGTTTCGTAATCTTACTATCATGCCCACTTCGTGGCCTAGTGCACCAGTCCTCCCTTTTTCTTCGTTGTGGCCGGCCGCTCTGGTATCGGATAGTAGTTGAAGAGCGATGGTTCAATCATTGTGTTCTCGCAGAAGCAGGCGAGCCTTTTAGCGGCGTTGAACACTTCATCTGAAATTTGAAATGGTGTGCCTTTTGGCTTGTCGAGCTGCGGTCTTCGCCATGCCCATGACGTATTCAGAGAGCAGGTTCAAGAGTATTTACACAATGCCAAAGTCTTCCTGAGGCACACAAGACTATTGAAGTTCGCGTTTCATCCTCCTGGGCCAAATCCGACTGTGGATCAAGGCTATTATACAGGACATCTGCCGCTATGTGGTCACCGGCCTCACCTGCAACTGGCCCTCTCAGTAGGAAGCGCAGTGGATCAACGTTCAAGAGCCTAGTTGTAAGTGGCTTTTTAGTGACCCCGGTCATCATTACGACTGTGTAAAGTGATTGATAGTGGTAACAGTCTGAACACCGTTGTGCGCAGAGTTACGGGGTCAGGCATCTGGCTGCTCTGCTGCAAGTCCAATGAGTCACAGTTACATATTAATGCCGATGACGTAGTATCCTAGTACGTATCAGCATTCTATGCGAATTCCCCTCAGGACCACGTGCGTTGGGAGTGAACAGATGTAGTGAGTAAGACATGCCTGGTCGTATGCAATAGGTACAGAACGAAGCCAACTTTGGAAGACATGGTTTCGACAACCAACAATGAACAGCAACATAAAAAGTGTAATAACAAGAGCTGGAGTCAACAGGATAGAGTCGATCATTTTGCTCGTCGACAGCTTAGTCCGGATGATATGATAGGCGGCGGGATTGTCAGGTCTGGCCCGTGTCGAAGAAACGGGAATGCGGGACTGGAGTGGCAAAGAAAGTCTCCTGCTTGAGGTTTATAATGAATACTGTGGCAGAGAAAATATCGAATTCGAGAAAATCGTATGCCCCGAGTTACTGAAAGTGTTGGCAGCCGCAGGTTAAGCCTGGTACATTTATGACTTCTCAACAGTTTGTATTTAACATCTATGTTGACCTGCTCCAATCAATTCTACCTGTCCCCGCGATCCGGCTTTAGAGACGTCTTCGAACTGCCTCGTGGCCCTGAACTCGCTGTCTATATGCCTAGGGACCGATATATGCAACGACTCAGCGCATCGTCTCCTTTAGCCAGCCCCCGCCTAGCTTAGCAAAGATCTCGTCTTCCGGAGATGTCCGTCTCCTAGGCAGACGAAGCTCAAGCCCAATCACCCATGCGCAGAACGCCAAGACAGAATACTGTGTTGCCATCGAAATACGGATAAACACGTCCGATATCGGATTTTCGACTGGGCTTATAAGGGACGCGGTGACAGCGCCCAGCTTTACATAAATTCAAGGCTCTATCGCAAACGGAGTGTAAACTAAGCATAATATCTAAGCTCAGTACCATCACCAACAAATGTCATCGAGGCGATCCACCACGACTTTCTCTAAATACGCAACTGCCCGAAGAGCTACAGTGCTCCAGTCGCTAGACTAGTAGCTCCCCAGAGCCAACAGTACCAAAGTGTACAGTATTCGATCGCGTAGTGTTGATTGGACAGTATTAGAATGGTCAATACCGAACCGCTCGCGTAATCTTAGTATGTTGAGGAGTATAGTTGATAGTGGATAAAATAAAAAACTTAATATTAACTAATTTTAATATCAGCCTAAAAAATAGCAAATTTAGTTAAACTTATACAGGCTAGCATCTTAGTTATTAACATAATTATCTTACGTTTATCTTGCCTAATAACTAACAAAATATCCTACTTCTCAATCATACCATCTATTCTTTCTCTTAATCCACTCAAACTCTTCATATTGGATATTGTTCAACCCGTAGTTCTAAGAAAGCCCAAAATGGTAGTTTCCGAGGTTGGCTTCGCTACCCCCGCCCCGTGACTCGTTTTGCGAAGTATACGCGCTCTGATGAGTCTGGATGGCACCCAATGAATCATCCAAGAAGTTCTGCCTGCCTGTTGCAAATCCAGATATGTGGCTCTTGTACCTGTCCTTTATCTCTCTCTGGTGTTGCAGTGTGACTGCGGCCATGGACATGGTGATGCCATCGTTGGAAATGTAGTCTGGGTGTACTTCAAGCTGACGAATGACCCGATTCTGTTTCATCTCTGATGGAGGCGCTCGCTTGCCGTCTGGAAGCTTGGGCTTGACTTCCTGGCTTTTGGATGTCTTTTCATTAGCCCGCAACGCCTCAAAGTTCCACTTGAGTACAGAATAGCTCTGCTGCCTTTCTCGCTCTACATCATATCTCGCTCGCAGGTCGGCGCCCCTTCCTTCGACATTCACTTTCTTACCCAGCGGCTCAAATTCGCCTGTATCTAGGTCTGTTGTCGTGTTGCCATTACCGGTGGTATCGCGTGGTTTTGGCTCTCTCCCTTACACCGGCTTGTATTTCGTTGCCTTTTTGACACCGCTTCCTGTTTAGTAGTCGTCCATTGCGATAGGCATGGTATATGTGGTTACTGGGTTCCCGTACTCCGCCATGTCATCCCTGTCCTTATTGAGGCCATCGTTTCCAGATTTGTTTTGGTTCTTGGTACTTCCTCCCGGCGGTAGATTTCCACCCTGATTGTCTCCTGTCCATTTCGTGTTTGAGTTCCCATCTGGTGGCATGTTGCGCTTTCCAAAGACCTTCTCCTTCGTTTTGTCAGCTTGACTATTGCCCAGAGTGTCCGTAACTCTAGATCGTGCAAATTCCTTGAGCTCAGCAAATAGAATACTATCAAGGAGGCTCTCGGCCCGGTGGTAGAACGATCGCCCAAAAGGATAGAACCTAATACCCTTGGTAGCCCCTGAACGATTCAGGACATATGAGTGGGTGTCCATGCTGAGGCGATAGGCGATCGAATGAGCAATCCATGGGTACTTTGCTGTGAGATTGTGCAACTGTTGTCAATAGTCACAGATGTCCGGGTAAATTTGCCAGCTTGCGTAGTTGTGTTTTTCGAGTTCGTTTGGTACTGCTCTTCCTCGACGACGTCGAGGCTGCCCCAACCGCCTGATGCCTGCTTCTCTGAAATTTCGGAATTATCTGTATCAGTGGCTGTAGGACAGTTGGTTCGAATCCACAGCTGGCCGGCTGGAGGGTTACGTCCTTCCAGTAGGCTCTTCAACTCATGCTCGAAAATAAACAGATTCTGCCATGCTTTCTCATAGCTTATCCTTACACAAGCCTAGGTTAGCCTCCCTTTCGAATCAAAAAGCATGGGTTTGACGGGACATTACTAATCGGACCATCAACAAGTTTGCCTTTGACGTTCCCAGAACGAGATTAAGTGGGTTTTGGCTCGTGACTCCTTGATATTCTTTTGAATCAAGGTGGCCTCCCTAGGAATAGGCGCGAAGATGTAGTTACTGGATGCTATGCTAGTAAGTTTCTGTACTATTAGGTTCATAGCGAAGGGCATGACAAACCTCTGCAATGTAAAAGCCGCTTTCCAGTTGATTCCATAGCGGTCATGTTCGTTAATAAAGGTCAGATCGTTGTTATGTTTCCACCCGAGCGAAGATGCAACCTGATTAGTTTCCGATCATATGAGTAACACTTTACACGCAATTCAACAATATAAGTACCTTGGATGCAGATTGGTTACCCATAATGGCTTTTTGATCGTACTTAGGGTCTCTTTCACCCGCCGCTACTTCGATCTTGCGGTAGTTGAGACTGCTCTGAAATCTGACACCTCTTGCACACTGCTTGAAAATCTGATTATCATCCAAATCCGCGACATGTGCGTGCTTATGCCAAGACTTCAACTTGAGGTTACCGGCGAGCTGCTTTACGTGATTAACCCTGGCTTCTTCATCTGCAGGCTTTGGGGGCCTGGTAGCTTCTAGAAAGGCTCCGTAGGCACCTTGGACCACTTCCACCTCTTGGCTTGGCGTCGTAAGAAAAGCCACATAAGGGGAATGTAGTCGAGGAACTAGCGTAGCCTTAAACTTCATATCGGCCGCAAGGCTGTTCATGTAACAGTTCCAGTCATCTTCAGACACGTAAAAGTCGTATAGGTCGAAGGGGTTACTCGATAGCTAAATTAATTCAGCTGCTGCATCTGCTGCATAGTAAATGCCTGCTTACATTGCACCAATCCTTCCCGTCTTTGTCGGTACATAGTTGACTGCTTTGTTTGGGCACTGCTATTTTTTCATCAACATGAATATCCGAAGCTTCATTGTCCTCGATCTTTTTCTCCAGTATATGAAAAATCTTTGCAAGGTTAGACTTGGTGTCATTGTCTTGTTCATTCTCCAGATTGGCCTTTGTTTTTTTCTTGTGCTGTTTGTTCAGTAGATCGATATCCTTTTTCCTTTCCTTGATCACCTTATCAGAGCACTACTTAAGAAAGCGATTTTCGAGTCCTCCGTGGTATTTCCTTATGTGATCTTTGTTGTAGACAATTTTGAGGTCGTCCTTCCATGGAATGCGCGCCCATCGTGGTAGTTGGGACTGAGTCGGAAGCGTTCTCTTTTGCCAAGTTTCCTCCAAAAGGTCACGCCAGTCGTTTCTAAACTTTTCGCCGACTTTCGAGTTTAGGAACGCACGATTGCTACCGATAGGTCCTAGCGTACGAAACCCTAGTTGACCATGAAAATCTCGAGTAGGAATCTAACATTCAGCTCCGGATACCGTGAATATAGCATCATCCAATTCATACCAAAAGTGTCCCCAGTTCTGAATGAAATCCTTTTCGGTTATCTTGCGGCGTACAGGGGCCGTAGGAGCTCTCTGTTGTTGGTCGTTATGAATTGTCTGCATCCTGTCGGAAGGTTGGTGCTCGGCTTCGGCCCTGGCCCTTTTTTATGTTCTTTTCTTCCATCTTGAAGGTTGAAAATCAGTCGACTCCTATGTAAATGAATCTGGGAGGAGTATGTGCTGTGTAAGACTTACTCTTCAATGTTCTGCCAGTCCACCACGTTCTCCGCGAGGGATCAGGAAAGCAACAGGGACAAGACCATCAAAGATTTCAGCGGATGGGCCTCCCGGCTTCGAATGTAGTGTAGATCCTACGAGAATAAAAGTACCTTCGGTGCCCCGGGCTTTGATGTGAACATAGTAAGCATCTGACTGCAACGAAGCGAGAGCATTATCCTCTCCCTCTTCTTTGATCATAAACTCAACCTTGTCCAACACATCAGCTGCTTTTTCACGGTACGTCCCTCTTGGAGACAACTCTGTAGACTTTGGCCGTCTCGTGAGACCCGCTACAAACGTCGAAATCTCTCTTCCAAATGGTATCATGTGGAATTCTGACCTGACTCCTCCTTTGCATGATGAAACGTTGGTAAATGGAGATGAAATTGGCAGATGATAATGGATAGACCTAGATGTGAAGTGAGATATACCGCCAACAACCGAGATACTTAGGCGATGGATCTCAACTGATTATCAAGAGAGGAACTCAACATAACAATGTGATGCGTGTTGTTTCCCTTTCTCCTGCTTTCAGAATGGTCTGGGCCTTGGCGCCTGGGTTAAGAAGCTGACCCGTTTGCAAGTCGCACCTATCCAAATGCCTTCCTAGTATTGATCACATGCGACAATGCTTAAGTCAAAAGCTGACTTACTTAAGCAGAAGGAACTAGCCACCTACAACAACTCTATGCGGTTGGGCCAAAGGTTCAACAGCTATACACAACAGGTCTGTCTTGGCAGAGCAGTCCTTCCGCTGGCAACATACAGTCCACAGTCCACAACCCGGATAGATGAAGCCGATGATGGGGCGAGCGACCTCACGCCAGCCGACTATCGGCCTCAACCACAGGGCAATAGGCCACCTACGTCTTCCCAAATAATGCCATGGGTCAGTTCCGCGTTCTGTAAGGTCGAGTTCCAGGTGAAAGATATCTAACATACATCCCAGGCGAAGCCGCAAATCGTGACGTGTTCATCACACTTCGTGGACAAGACCAGTGATGTGACTGACGCCATGAACATTTCCGGGTCTCTTTCCATCAAGACAGCCACCATCGTAAGGCCAACGACTCCTACGTCGACAGCGATAAGTTTTAGTATAGTGATATCAATTTCCACCTTCAGGTCAAGGTGACCAACCAAATCCATGAGCCGCCTGAGTACTGCATTTTCATCAAGATCAGCAAGGTGAAGAAGGAGGAGTGCTCCGAAGTGTATGGCGTAAGTTGTGTCCTGACGAATCCATTGGAATTGACAACCCAGCTAACTTGTCGCAGGACTGCTTCATCTCTGGGTGGGAAGAAGATGGAGAACTTAATGCCGTCATCTCGATCAAGGTGCACCACAAGTCTAAGATCTTTTAGATCAAGGCTGGGCTTGAGGCTGAAATGTCTACCCCTACTATCAGCGGCAAGATTGAGGCTGATTTCAGCATGGAGAAGAACAAGCTCAGCAAAAGCACCGAGACAACCATCAATGAAGCGGTAGAGGCTCCATTAAAGATCTAACTGTGGACTAGGGCATAGAGTCTCTCAAGAAGGCAGCCGCGGCATTGCCTGATCTTGTCGCCGTTACTCCCCAGCGGACGTACGCTATCCTGACCAAGTACACATCCTTGACCGACTTTCAGATGAAGAAGGATGGTTTCTCGCTTCTTGACTACAAAAGTGCAGGGATCTACACTAATGCCCTCCTCGATCACAACATGGACTACAAGGCCGTGTGGAAGCAGATCTCACATGCTACCTACGAGCTCAAGGGAAATCGCGCAACTATCGAGACTGGTCGCCCTGGAGAGGGTATTCACGCCCTTTCTAAGATCAAAGCCCTGCCCGCCGCTGAAGCAGAAGCCAAGTCCTTCAAGCTTAAACGGGCCTCTAACTAGGCTACCTCCCAGGAGGCGACGCAGCAGCAGACTCTAGTTATTCGACAGAGCAACTACGTCAACGAAGAGGATGAAGATGAGAAAGAGGACAGTATTCAGTTCCCAGTCTTTAGCCCGGCGTTTGCTGGGCTGATACACGCTCGCAAGGTCTGCCGCTTCGAAATGGCCAAGATTGTCAATGAAGTAGACCTAGTGGCTAGGAGCCCCAAGCTTGCGACAGACACCAGGCGTGACTCGTTCTTCCTCAATCCACTAGTTTTCGAGCAACTACTCCCCGTCGTTCGCTCGCTGTCTCCGGAGAGCGCCAGGCTTCGCTTAAAGGACCCCAATGCGGCCTTACTGCTTGGCTACGTAGCCCCCTCTCAGGACGACGATGCGCTACCCCCCGTCTACCTCTTCAAAGAGTCATTGGGTCAACAAGACCTACGGCTGCAAAACTCGGTTCAGCGCTGCTCTTGGAAGGCTGAGGATTACCTCATGCATGGATGTGCCGGTCTCGTTGGAGAAAGGGCCGTGCATTCGAGTGCAACCTTAGTCAACGATCTAGAAACCATCGATGCCACGTTCCGCCCCGACAAAATTATGGTGTGGTTAAAAGACCAAACTGTGGGCGGTATCCGCCTCAAGTACGCTAAGGGAGTGGAAAAGTCCCATGGCAGCTGTGAAGGGCCAGCGACTCATCAGTGGAATTTGGCCTCGGATGGCTCTGAGATCATCGTCGAAGTCGTGGTTCGGGAGGAAATGAGGAGCGCAGAGACGGTCATAACATCTATTACCTTTGTCACATCATATTGTAATGTCTTTGACACCGTCGTTCCTCAGGGGAGTTCGGCACCATCGACATTAACCGTAGGTCCTGATTCAAAGGTGACGACTTTCCTCCGCCCCGAGGGAGCCCAGTGGTCTCTCCCAGGCTTCTTCAGCTTCTCTGCAAATAGCTCTACCGAGCATCCCGCTGGTACTCCCTGCACCCTGGGCATCATCTGGTCTAAGGATACCTTCGTGCCTCTTCCTGCCGCCCCGTTATCCGTGCAAATCTGTAAATCGTACCTGAGCCTGGGCAAAAGTCTCCAGGCTAACGTGAAGCGCTTCAAACATCTGAAGAACTTCGCAAGCTTTCCTTTCTACTTTATCCTTGGAGCTACCGCCGCCGCTACTTCTAGAAATGTTGCCGGCGGGGCCGCATCGGTTGACGATATATCCGAGCCCTTCAACGCACTCGATGGGATAGATATCGACTGGGTCGTCAAGACCATTGCTTTTGCCTCGAATGGGGTAAACTTACTGGGCTAAAAACGACGTACACCAACGGACAGGAAGTCATTTACGGCAACTTTGGCCGTGAGGTATGGAAGTGCGATGGAGCGTCGCCCTTAATTGTCGCCAAACTGACTGCTGGCCGGATATCGGCGGGTGGCCCAGGATTTTTGGATGCCGTTGAGTTCATTCGCGCTGACCTGGCTAGAAAGAAGGGCGAGCAGGCGGCATGGCCCCTTGATGTCTCGACGCTACGCTACCTGGGGGAGGGAGATATGAGAGTTACGGTGGACGTTGGTCAGGTTGTGGAGCGGGCTCCGAATTTTGGTGGCAATGCTAGATGGACATGCAGAGGATTTTATGGCGAGTCCAAGGATGGGTTCATATCGAGGCTTGGTATAGTTTGGGGACGAGGTTAGTTTACTTATAAAGACAGCGTTATAAAGCCTGGTGGTTATTGAAATGGGTTTTGGATCCTGGAAACATCTTGACTGTTGTTAGTAATTGCCCTTTGTTGCCTAAACTGTTCCCCGTTTTGTAAAGACAGCATTTCACAGCTTTTGCCAGGAGCCTCTCTTGTCTTTGTTAAGAATATTTTACGTAATTGCTAACTTTACATTTCTGTGTTTATTAATATTAAAATTAATAGTTTATACTAAATTACCTAGTATATTTAGTAAAATAAGAAATAGTTTAAGTTTATAGAAAAGTTAAGGCAGGGTATTTAACTTAAAACCTTTTTTTTTTTCTATTAGTATTAGCCTTATAAGGCTATTAAGATTTTAACTTTTATATAATAGCTTAAATAGTAAGGCCCTTATAGCAGGCTAGTATCTTAAAACTTAATATTAGTAAAGGTTTATTTACCTTAGTAGTGTAATTACTGCCTTAATTAAGTAATATAAATACTGCCTATAGCCCTTAGTAGCTATATTAGTATTATAACCTAAATAAAAGAAGTGCTTATATTATATATACCTTATATTTTTCTTTTAATTACTTATAGTTACTATA